AATCTGCAAATGGACCAAATTTATAAAAGGATAAAAACCCATGAGCCATGGTCCATTTTGGGTGGTTTTGTCTGCCCTAAATGCACCTGAAGGCCCTTTGATAAATAGAACTGCTTTTTATTCCCTTAATTTTGTCTGGCCTCTGTTTTTAGGTAGCCCCAAAAGGCATCACTGGAAGCACCATAGAAAAGGAGCCCCAGGTTGGTTTGACCTCTGTGAAACCACACAAAACAGAGGCCACAAGAGGTCACCTCACCCCTTCTCCTGGGCCAGAGCTGATTCCTTCCCTGAATGCCTCAGAACACTCCAGCATCTGATAATTGTGTTAAATAACTCAGATTTTTGCTCTCACTCTTGGCTGTGGCTGACAAATCAAGGTGTGGGTACAAGAGCCTGGTCTAGAGGTGAAATTTTGCTGTAATTTGTGTACAAAAATGGCATTAAACATCTCATTTCACCTCATTTCATCACTGCTCCTGTCCATGGCTGAGTGAGGCCTCCCTGTGACATTTGTCATGGATTCAGACACCCCTGGGCCTGTTGCTCCACTCACAAATTTAATTTAGATGTAGAATTTTCTTAAAACATGGGATTTCCACTTCAGGCCTTTCTCTCAGTTCATAGAAAGTTCATCTAAAACCATCAGTGAACGATGTGGTTGCTGCTGTTGTGTCTGTGGTGTTCGGTGGGTGGAAGATTGGGACTAATTAACCTCATTTAGCCACACCACATTTTGTTGCCTGTCCTGTGGCAATGGAGTTCAGTTCAGCTGGACCCACAAACCCAGATGTGCTCCTTCCCCGGCTGATTCCTGCAGATTTATCCCGTGGCTGCTAGCAGCAGCAAATCCACTGGCTATGGAAAATTAAAAACTAGATTAAGGAGGTTGATGCCAATCCTGCTGCTGCTGGTTATGGAATTGCACTGTTGGGTTGGGATTGTTCTTCCTGCAGTACACACACAGCCTGGTGACAACCCTGCCTGGAAATCCTGCCTGGAAATCATGGAATGGTTTGGATTGGAAAGTTTAAATTCAGCTATTCCAACCCTCTGCAAGTGGGGTCATCTTCCACCAGGCCAGTTTGCTCATCCTGACCTTGAATGTTTCCAAGGATAGGAATATTTCCCGCCAAACATCTCTGGGCAATCTTTGACATTAACACACTCATGGTAAAAAATTCTTCCGACATGAGCAGCTGCCCCTGAGGTTGTCACAATCCACCTGAGCTGGTGTCACACCTGTCCCGAGTGTCTTCTGAGCACCCATCCTCGCCCAAATATGAGGAACAGGCAAAATTTTCTTCCTAGAAAGGTGATTGGATATTGGAATGGGCTGCCCAGGGAGCTGGTGGAGTCCCCATCCCTGCAGGTTTTTAAGGAAAGACTGGATGTAGCCCTCAGTGCCAGGTCTGGGTGACGAGGTGGAGCTGTCTCACAGGTTGGAGTTGATGGTTTCACTTTAAAAAGGACATTGAGGGGCTGGAGCATGTCCAGGGAAGGCCAACAAGGCTCTCAAAGGGCCAAAAGTGGCTTTGGAGGAACAGCCGAGGGAGCTGGGTTTGGTCAGGTGTAAGAAGAGGAGGCTCAGGGGGACCTCAGCACTTCACAACTCCCAGACAGGAGTGGGTGCTCAGGTGGGGCCTGCTGTCCTGCCGTGCCTGCAGGGAGAGGATGAGAGGAAGTTGAGGAGATTCCTATCAGATATTGGAAAACCTGGGGTGCTCAGGCTTTGGAACGGCTGCCAGGGAGATGCTGGGGTGCCCATCCCTGGGGGTGCCCAGCCAAGGCTCTGGGTGCTGAGCTGATCTCCAAGCTCTCTTCAGTGCTGAGGTCCATGATTCTGAGATCTCTGAGCTGCTTCCCAGCCTGACAGAACCCACAGGTCTGAGGGGAGGGGACACGCCCCGTGTCACCCCCCCAGCGCAGCCGGAGGTGGCCGAGGGGTCAGTGCTGTGTCCGGTGTGCAGGAGGGAGGTCAGGGCCGTGTCCGTGCTGTGTCCGAGCTGTGTCTGTGCTGTGTCCTGGCTGTGTCCGAGCTGTGTCCTGGCTGTGTCCTGGCTGTGTCCGAGCTGTGTCTGTGCTGTGTCCTGGCTGTGTCCTGGCTGTGTCCGAGCTGTGTCTGTGCTGTGTCC